AAAAAAAAAAAAAGGGCTTAGCGCCCACAGCACAGTGGTTACAGCGCCAGCCACATATACTGGGGCTGGTGGGTTCGAATCCAGCCTGCGCCAGCTAAACAACAATGACAAACCGTAACAAAAAATAGCCAGGCGTTGTGGCAGGTACCCGTAGTCCCGGCTACTTGGGAGGCTGAGGCAAGAGAATCACTTAAGCCGGAGAGTTTGAGGTTGCTGTAAGCTGTGACACCACAGCACTCTACCAAGGGCAACAGTGAGACTCTGTCTCAAAAAAAAAAAGAAAAACAATTTCTTGCGTTTATTAAAGTATCTCAGCTTTCATTAGCTAAGTAGTTTCTTCCCATCTGATTAAAACTAGGTTAAAAGAACCCAATTTGAACAGTTTTCTAAAAATCCAAATTAAGCACATACTATTAATAAACTAGATTTATAATTTTCCATAAAATAATTTTGATTAATTTAGATTTCTAAAATACTCTTAATAGCCATTCTGTGTGGCTTATTAGCTATAAAGCTAAGCTGTGCTGTCCAAAAGAGCTTTACTTCATTTAGAAAATGAGAAACAGCAGTGGTCTTTGCATATTTTATCCCAAAAAGAGAGAAATAGGCAGAGAGAAAAGCTCTTTCTGAGGTTACCAGTTAACACAGAGTGTCTTAGGTTAAGATTTGGAAACCAAAAGAACTCATAATAGCTGTGTACCATTTCATGCAAATCTATGAAATACTAAGTAAGATAAAGCAATGACTCATTTAAAGCATGATGAGAAAATTTTCCTACCATAGTGTTAGTTTCATCACTGGACAACAGATGGTCTTATATCTCTAAAGTAAACAGTTGATGAGTATACACTGAAAATTTAAAAAGTGTCAATAATGTAGTGAATGGTAAAGACTAAACACCCCTTATACACAAAAATCATAAGTTTGCAAACCTCTCTGGAAGCTGTTTTCACACTACTATTCTTAAGCCTTAGCAGTACAGAGTCCTCAAATAAGTAACATATAGATAAAATTGGAAGGGCCTGCATCAGCTGAAGTATGATACCGTTGCCTTATACCTTCAGTTTAATAATACTGTCAATACCACAAAAGCTGTACCACAACCAATGGAAACAGACCATCAGAGGGCCTCCTGCCCCCTATGGTGGGTTCCACAATATATAAAACGGTAAGTCTGTTTTCCCTGCTACTTCTTTTCAACCTTGGGTATTGCTGCACATTGTTCTACGGGGGAGTTAATGCATTTTAAAATTAGTCAGCCAAATATGTGGTTGATTAATCTAACTTAGCACATAAAATATGTTTACATTAAAATGTGCTCCACAGGGAAAAGGAGATGGCTCGATGCTACCTTGACAAATGGCATAATGAAAAACACCTAAATTAAAATAAATAGGGAGAAAACAGGCTAACACAAAAAGCTTCATTTGCAAGAGCAACCTCCTGGAGGTGGATATATAGAATTGTTTTGAACACGAATGTTTGAGTCTTTGGAAGTTTGCAAATAAAAGATAATCACGAAAGCAAACTCATGTAGCAGCTTTATTCACCTGCACCTCGAGTAATCCACTTGAAAAGTAATACTAAATGCCACGCCCAGCTAGGAGTGAGGATCAATAATACTTAAGGTCAACTCCTAGAATTGTGAGTCTGATATGTTTATTAAAGATCCTGGACTAATTAAGATCAGCAGCCACTGAGTCCTTAGCCAGAGGGTAAACTAACCCCTTGTTACAACTTGATAAACTGTTTCTTTTCAAGTGCAAAAAGAAAAAAATAATTTTTTTCTAGAATATAAAGACCACAGCAAAACTTACTTGATGTAAAGAATATGATGTCTTAATTATATTTGCTCTAATTTATTGTTTTACTCAATGACACCAAAATGTTTCATTAAAAAGTCTAATTCATTTCCTTTTTTTAAAAAAAAAATTCATTTCCTTTTTTTGAGACAAGGGCTGACTCTGTTGCTTAGCTATAGTGCACTGGCAAGATGATAGCTCACTGCAACCTCAAACTTCTGGGCTCAAGCGCCCCTCCTGCCTCAGCTTCCCAAGTATCGGGACTACAGACAGGCTACCATGTCCCTGGCTAATTTTTCTATTTTTTTGTAAAGACAGAATCTCTTGCTCAAGCTGGTCTCAAACTCCTAACCTCAAGCAATCCTCCTGTCTCAAGCCTTCCAAAGTGGTAGGATTATAGGTATGTGCCATTGTGCATGGCATAATTTCTTTTAGTAGATCCAAATTTTTTTTTTCTTGAGAAAGAGTCTCACTCTGTTGCCCTGTGTAGAGTGCTATGGCATCACAGCTCATAGCAACTCTTGTGCTTGAGCAATCCTCTTGCCTCAGTCTCCCGAGTAGCTGGGGCTACAGGTGCCCACCATGAGACCTAGCTAATTTTTCTATTTTTAGTAAAGATGGGGTCTCACTCTTGCAGAGACTGCTCTTGAGCTCTTATGGACTGATCTAGTGATGATTTACAATATCTGAGCAGTCCAATGATTTGAGCAACGAGTGGTTCAACCCTAGTCCAAATTATGCTTGTAACAGGACCTCTATGCCAGTGAAAGGGAACCCTTGAAGGCACAAGAACTGCTACATTCTAGTCTACAATTGCAAAAGACAGGCCTCATAGACTCTAATTTTTTTTTTTTGTAGAGACAGAGTCTCACTTTATTACTCTCGGTAGAGTGCCATGGCATCATAGCTCACAGCAACCTCTAACTCCTGGGCTTAGGCGATTCTCCTGCCTCAGCCTCCCAAGTAGCTGAGACTACAGGTACTGCCACAACAGCTATATTTGGTTACAGTTTGGCCAGGGCCAGGTTTGAACCTGCCACCCTCAGTATATGGGGCTGGCGCCCTACTTACTGAGCTACAGGTGCCGCCCAATTCTAACTATAGAAAATGGCCAGTTATACCTCATAATTTCAATTTATACATCTAGTATATTTTAGTCAGATTTAAGACTTTCCAGACAATTCTGTGCCTTAATTATATACCATTCTTAATTTTTAAGAACCATCCCAACCACAAAGGCACTAAATTTTTTATATATTTGGGATATGATAAGTTATTTCCTTTTTTAAGACTCAGAAGTCTCTGGTCACTACTGATGCTTAAAGCAGTAAATTTAAATTTGATCATAAATTTTCTGAGGCTTCATTTATCAAGAAGTGAATCTGAGTAAATAAGGGACTTGCTATTTTCTGTACATTTTTAGCCATTTCTGAAAATAATTTGTAAAGACGAAAACCTAGTCTTAGCCTATAAGGAATATGTACTTCTGTCTTGAACAGTATAAAACAGAAACTTGAAGCCAAACTTCTCAAATAGGCTTTCCCTTACCTACGCTAGATAAAAGACATGGAAATGGTCAACAAACCTGTCAACTTTCAAGCTCCTGGAGGCCATCTTATTTTCTGAATTTAGCCTTGTGACATTAAAATTCACAGAAAGGGCAAAAAGAAACTTAAAAGTTTTTTCTCCAGTTGCGCTTTGTGGTGGTGGTATTGGGGGGCTGCGGGGCGGGCTGCAGCGCCAGAGCACAAGTTTGAACGTAACTGGGGCTGCCTGCCCACACTGTGGGTGGCCCTTTCAACCCCAGCAACACTGGGTGCTGTGGCTGGTGTGGGTGGGCAGAAAAAAAAGGGGGGGGGGTTGTTTCTATTTCCTTAATCTATGAAAATTTATCTTGTACTTACAAAAATTCCCAAGCATTAGCCCACAATTTAATATGGTTTTTAATGGTTCTAAATACCTATTTTCTTTTAGTTTAACTCAGTTTTCACCCCTCTGGAGGAACTCTAAAAATTTCAAGTCTGCTTACTGTGATAGTGGCATGAAACGTGTGTCAAAGAATGTTATCAGTGTACTAATAAGCCAGCTCCTTTCTAAATTAAGTTTTAGTGGATAGGCAATATAATTTAAACTTCCCATTTAACATCTCTATTGAAAATATTTTGGCCATCTATGGAAAAACTGTTGTCATCTGAGACTGCACATTAATCTTACTCATAAAATAAAGTTTTAAATGGAAATTGTTTCTAGGTGACTTGCTATCTCCCAACTGCTATTATTGATTTAATGACAAGTGATTCTTTACTACACTGTATCAGGTAACTTAAAGGAAAGGCAATTATCTAAAAGATAATCCCTCACAATTATTTCCTGTTATACACTGGAAGTAGAATCATTACATATAGCCATTTAACAAGTCTAATTCTCTTTTCATTTTTGGCAGCGAGATGTGGACCTCCTTCAACACGAACTTATTAGTAACATGCACACATCGTGAAGAAAACATTTAACCTTTTATGGCAAAATTTACTATTGTCAATTGTATTTTAACCGAGTAGGTTAACACTATGTTGTAGTCTCTGTTCCACTGAAGAAAAATGACTTTGGAATAGAGGGAAATGGATGGCAAGTTTTAACCAGGGAAAATTTTTTACAAATTCCTATTTTCACAATATCACATGTGTTTTTAACACAGAATGCTGTAATATTTTACAGTGTGATACTTGGGGGAAAATTTCTGCAGAGTAACCAGCAGTCTGTGTAGGAAGTAGCAGTCTATGCTTCCAGGCATAAATATGGAGAACAATTTTCTGACCAGTGTGGGGTCCAGAAGAATAGCCTGTCCCATTTTAAAAACTACACCATAAAAGCAATTCCCTCTCCCTGACAATGTTCTTCCTTAATAGTTTTTCCTTCTGATATATTTTTCTGCCGGCCATCCAGGCTCCTGCGAGTGAGTAGCTTCCATGAGGAGTCAACTCTGATTTCCATTCTTTCACACTAAGAAGGACATCTTATAAAAGAGGCACAGACACAGAATAAAGGCGTTTGATACAGAAGCAGTATAAAGTCTACAACTGAAGCGGTGCCAGAAATTAGGTTGACAGCTTATCTGAAGCTGCAAATTGAATGGAAGAGACTTTGAGATCAGAAAAGTCTGGCCTAAGGGTTCGTGCAAACTTTACCTTAAAACTGTAGAATCTCAAATACAGGTAAGTTCAAACACTGGAAGATGTGGAAAATTTTCTAAAAGGCAATGATAAAGGAGGAGACCCTTCTTGCCTCGTAAGTTAAAAATCACAAGACAAATTAGAGACTGTTCACATGGGCAGTACTGTACATTATTAATTCCAAACTCATCTTAGAACTCTTGTCATAGAAACCTCCAAAACATCACAGGGGGTAAAATATTTCAAATGGATCAATCACAAAATGGATGCCCGTGATTCAACTATCTAATTACGTATGGCTATCAATTTAGTCTGGCCTGGGACTGCTTTTTAGAAGGAGGAGGCCTCCCATGGCGCACAATGTGTTTTTCTAAGCTGTCCAGAATGGCCACAGCGATCTGCTGGACATGGGGATCAGTATGTTCATGATCTTTGATGTTGTATAAATGCTGCAATCCTCCTTCTTCTATCAGCATGCTGCAATATCTTGAAGCTGAAAAGAAAACAGGAGAAACAGCTTTTCTTAATTATTCCACCAAAAAAAAAAAAAGAGTTCTTAGGAGCTTTTTGTAATTAAATTTTAGATTTTTTGTTACTGACCACTAAAATGCTACAGCATAATAAGTAACTCCATAATGCAGCCATTCTCAACCTGTGGGTTACGACCCACAGGAACTGTATTAAAGGATCACGGCATTAGGAAGTTGAGAACCACTGCCATAATATGTCTACAGTGCAAGGCCCACACAGAAATAATACACATGCCCTAATCAAAGAAAGAAAGAAATTGTTCTAACCTGAAGATATATGTAACCTAGAAAAAAAATAAAAAGAACTAGAATCACAAAAGAACTTATTTTTATAAATTTTAATAGAATTAGCAGATATATGAGGAATTCCATTACATGTATAAACTATATAGTGGCAAAGTCTCGATTTCTGTAGCCATCAAAACAGTGTACATTATATGACATAATTTTTTTTTATTGTTGCAGTTTTTGGCCTGGGCCAGGCTTGAACCCCCCCCCTCCAGCATATGGGGCTGGCGCCCTACTCCTTGAGCCACAGGCGCTGCCCCGACATAGGTTACTTTTTCATCCCTGCACCTTTCCCTCATTACTCCCCATTATTTTACCTTTGTCCCCAAATTGCGGGCAGGATAAGTGCTGTCATACCTTTTTGCATTCCCCATGCTTCCTTTCTAACTTTATGGCACTCATACTGCACATGCATTTTTTTTTTTTAGACAGAGTCTCACTATGTCGCCTCGGTAGAGTGCCCTGGTGTCACAGCTCTTAGCAAACTCAAACTCTCTTGCCCCAGCCTCCCAAGTAGCTGGGACTACAGGCACCCACCATAACACCCAGCTATTTTTTGTTGCAGTTGTCATTGTGTTTGGCAGGCCCATGCCAGGTTCAAACCTGCCAGCCTCAGTCTATGTGGCTGGTGCCATAACCACTGTGTATAGGCACCGAGCCTGCACATGCAATTTTTCAATATTTTCTTTGCCTTTTGTATATAATTTTTATTACTTTTTTTTTTTTTTTTTGAGACAGAGTCCCACTTTGTCACCCTCAGTAGAGCACCATGGTGTGAGAGTTCACAGCAATCTCAAACTCTTGGGCTGAAGAGATTCTCTTACCTCAGCCTCCTGAAAAGTGGGGACTAACTTTTTGGCACCGGCCACAACGCCTGGCTATTTTTAGAGATGCAGGAGGTCTTACTCTGGCTCAGACTGGTCTTGAACCTGTGAGCTCTAGCAATCCACCCGCCTCAGCCTCCCAAAGTGCTAGGATTATGGGCCTGAGCCACCATGCCCAGCCTATTGTTATTACTTTTGAGATAGTCTTACTCTGTCACTCAGGCTAGAGTGCCATGGCCTTAGGCAAGCTCACAGCAACCTCCAACTCCTGGGCTTAAGCAATCTTCCTGCCTCAGCCTCCCAAGTAGCTAGGACTACAGGTGTGTGCCACCAGGCCCACCTAATTTTTCCATTTTTAGCATAGATGGGGTCTCATTCTTGCTCAGGCTGGTCTCAAACTCCTGACTTCAAACAATCCTCCTGCCTCAGCCTCCCAAAGTGCTAGAATTACAGGCATGAGCCACTGTGTCTGGCCTGCCCTTTGTTTTTAAAAATATTTCTTCTTTTACATACTGTGACTTTTAAGGTTCTTTTGTTTCAGTGATTTTTATTAAAGTGTAATTTACACAAAACAAAATGAACCATTTTAAATCTATAGCTTGGTAAGTTCTGCCAAATGCATACACCCATATAACCACCAGGACATCAGGAGAGAGAATATTTTCATCAACTAAAAAGTTTCCTTGGTGGCACCCGGACATAGCTCAGAGAGTAGGGTGCTAGCCACATACACTGAGGCTGGTGGGTTCAAACCAGGCACGGCCCAGCTAAAACGACGACAGCTGCAACAACAACAACAAAATAGCTGGGCACTATGGTGGGCACCTGTAGTCCCAGCTACTTGGGAGGATGAGGCAAAAGAATTGCTTAAGCCCGAGTTTGAGGTTGCTGTGAGCTGTGACACCATAGCACTCTGCCTAGGGTGACAGCTTGAGACTGTGTCTCAAAAAAATAATAAATAAATAAATAAATAAAAAGTTTCCTTGTACATCTTTACAGCCAATCTCCCCTCTGGGCCCTCAATCCAACAACCACTATTCCAAATTCTTTCCTGTCTTTTCCTTCTTCCCCTCCCTTTCCTTCTCTCTTTCTGCTTTCCCTTTTTTTTTTTTTTTTTTTTGAGACAGAGTCTCACTTTGTTGCCCTCGGCAAAGTGCTGCAGTGTCTAGGCTCACGGCAATCTCAGACTCCTGGGCTCAAGCAATTCTCTTGCCTCAGCCTCCCAGGTAGCTACAGGGGCCTGCCACAATGCCCAGCTATTTTTAGAGGTGGGGGTCTCTCTCTACCTCAGGCTGGTCTTGAACTTGTGAGCTCAGGCCCACCTTGGCCTCCCAGAGTGCTGGGATTATAGGCATGAGCCACTGTGCCCAGCCTTTTTTTTTTTTTGAGATAGGGTCTTATTCTGTTGTCCCAGCTAGAGTGCAGTGGCATCATCTCACAGCAACCTCAAACTCTTGGGCTTAATTTAACCTTCACTAGGCTAATTTTTATTGGTTTTTTGTAGAGACTAGGTCTCTTATGTTGCTTAGGCTGCTTTTAAACTCCTAGACCCAAGGGATCCTCCCGCCTTAGCCTCCCAGAGTGCTAGAATCACAGGGGGGGAGCCACTGCACCCAGCCTTAAAATATATGTTCTTTCTTATGTAATTTTTTATTATATTTTCTTCACTTATAATGACATGCAAATATTTCACTGTATGGATATTTCAATATTAGTTATCATTTACCTATTGCTAGAGCTCTAACTTAAAATTATTTTCTATTATAAATAATGTTGGAACAAGTATGTCTGTAAAAAAAAGCTTTTCAGGATAATTTTAAAATGAAAAGGGAGACTATCTAAATATCCATCAATAGGTAAGTGGTTACATAAATTAGTGATAAATTCATTTAATAAGTGTACAGCCATGTGTTACGGCTGAATTGTGTCCTATGAAAAGACACATATTAAAGTTTCCCTATATCTCAAAATGTGATCTTATTTGAAAATAAGGGTCATTGCTGATGTAATTTTTTTAAATTAAAAATGAGCACACTGGGTGCCGAGCCGAGGGGCCATCTTAATGTGCTCTTTTTTTTTTTTTAGTAGAGACAGAGTCTCACTTTGTCACCATCGATACAGTGCCATGGCTTCACACAGCTCACAGCAACCTCTAACTCTTAGGCTTAAGTGATTCTCTTTTTTTTTTTGAAACGGAGCCTCAAGCTGTCCCCCTGGG